AGAAGAGATGATGCCAACCCCTCAGAGGACCTCAGATGATGCCAACCCTGAAACAACATACAGAACTACCAACTTTTGCTATAAGTTTGATTGCATCATATACTGTAATAATTGCTGTTAATAGTGTTCATCGTCTGTTTGATTACGTCTTTAATTGATTTGTCCGTACATTTCTGCCATATGTACATTAACTGACAGTCATCACTGATAAGCTACTACTAAATACTGTAGAAACTTAATTTGCTGTAAAGTTGCTTTGCAACGATTTGTATCGTGAAAAGCACTATACAAATAAACTTGTATTGAATAAACTTGAATTATTTTTTATTATTATACCTTCATTGGAGGCTGAGCCCCCCTAAAATGAAAATCCTAGAATCACCCGTGCTGACCTCAGACATTTGCATATGAGATTAAAGACAAATATTTAACGTAATACAACTAGTACATATAATTAAGTCTAATTTGCCACATGATATAGTTGATCACATGCACTATGGACATCTTCCAACTTTGACTACCAGAAAGTGTATAAATAGTTTGTCTTCATTTTGAAAAGTAAATCTGTTGTTTCATTATTTTATTTGATTTATTTTTATTGGGTGAAACATTTTGCCTGAAAAAATGTCCTCGTGTTTTAATTCTTTAAAACATCACTTGTTTTGATATTTTGTCACATAATGCAAGACATTCATACACTTTAAAAATGGCTTAAAGGGGTCATATGATGCGATTTCAAGTTTTCCTTTCTCTTTGGAGTGTTACAAGCTGTTCGTGAATAGAGAGGCGGGGCATAGAGGACCTACAATAATGTACAGTATTTGAAAAATAATATGTTTTTTGAACATTAAAGCATGTCAACATATTCTGTTACATCAAATACACAAAATAATGATTTTTAAAAAAGCATCATATGACCCCTTTAAGTGTGATAATGCATTCAGGCATAAACAAGTATTTTCAAATATTAGGACAGAACAACACAACGTGCACAGCAGGCTGTTCATGACGTATGCACACTTGTCTCAAGGATGCAGAAAACATGTTAGTTATATAACTGTTGTGTAACAAAGTTGCATAAAAAACTGTGGGCATCTACACTTGATACTCGAAAATTGGAGTGTGCAGTAAAGACTTTTACTCTCAGATGAAGGTCAATGAGCAAAAATACATTTGTACATTCTTTGTTGGTCAATGAAAAGCATCATCCCACGTGAATGACCTTTCCCTGGAGGTTTGTTCACTTAAATCCAATTATGCTCCAATACATGTCATCTCCTCAATCTGTCACTTTTATTTAGCCTGCAGCACATCCACCGCGGCTCCTGTGACCACATTCAACGTTACATTTGACCTCCCTGAAAGCTCTACATGAGAGAGTGCTGTAAGATGGCTGACCAGCCTTACTCTCATGGTTTCAATTAGGCCCCCTGGGCACCCACTGACTGATGTGTGTAATGGCCTTGGATATGGGCGGCCATAGCGAGGGCAACTTTAAGACGATGTGTAAGGCCTGTGTAATGTACCACACTCAGGAGTTACACACGCACCACGGAGCATAAATCAACAAGCCTTGGCTCCTCGAGCACACAACCTCTATCATTTGGAGCTAAAGAGCGTCATACCATCTGTCGCCAGCAGGTGGAACACTGACGTCATGTGCTTGCAGCTGCTTTTGATGGTTAAATCCCCAGCAGAAGCATGAGACTGAGAAGACTAATGAATATCTCAGGCACAAAACATTGTTTCAGAGCTTACTGGAGACATAAGGATTAACACACAAGGAAGAAATAAAAAAAGTATGAGAGACACTAACAGAATGGCAGTATAATCGGTTTTGGAAATAGTGAAAAAAGACAATCATATGATCATAAGGTGAGAACCTAAGACCTATAAGTCAGTAACACTTCATAAAAGCATTAAACAATGCTTAAAGAGATGGTTTGCTCAAAAATAAAATTCTGTCATCACTTACTTAACCTCATGTCTTTTCAAACCTGTATGACTTACTATCTTCTGTGGAACACAAAAGAAGATCACCTTAAGAAAGCCCAAGGGTTATTCTTCTTCTTCTTCATCAATTAACATCAACTTACTTTTCATTATATGGAGAAAAAAAACAAAAAAACAGTTGAAACAGTCTTCAAAATACCTTTATTTATGATCAACCGTAGAAAGTCAGTCATACAGTTTTGAACTGTTGCTTTAACTTCTCAGTATGCCATATACATTAGATTCATGCCATTTCGGAATGTACAATAACTAAAGGTCTGTTTTGGGAGACCAGGGTTTCATTTTTTTTTTTTTTTTTAATAATGGATAATTGGGTTAATAGATTTCTGCATAGGCACATATTTTAAGTCTTGGTTAAAAAAAAAATATTTATGAAATATTAAACACTTCAGGAAAAAAAAATATATATATATAAAAGTTCAGATAAAAATAAAATATTAAACCATTATTTTTTCCCAACACAATTTATGCTATAAAAAAACAATAAATAATAATTTAATATTTAATAAAATAATGAAATACAATATTAATTAATATACACATATTATCTAATAAAATAATGCATATTGCATAATGATAATTCATTAATTAATTAAATAATTAATTAATTTAATCAACTGTAGAAAATGACAACAAATTAATCACATGACAACTTGACATTCATTCATAATGACAGTCATTATGAAGCGTTTCTAATACCAGAAAGTCTCTCTCCATAAGGTTAAGTGATTTGAAGGCTCTAAGAAGTGGTATTTTGTGAGACTGAAGAGGGTTGTTTTTTGACAGTTACAGTAAGTGTAGCAGGCGTTGTTTCTGGACCAAGGCTTACCTGAGGCAGAGGGCATGGCCATAGGGATGCAGGGTCTTCCCTGCCCCATGGCGGGGGCAGAGAGTAACATTTTCGCTAAGGAGGCAGAGATGGGCTGAACCAGCAATGATGTCAAGTTGTGGCGACTGTCTCTTCCAGCTGTGAACAGAAACAGAAGAGAACACTGAAAAAAAACAGTATTTTCTTATTTTAGAAAGACTTTCACACAGCTACATCAAAAAGAAAACAATAATAACATCCGTCCATCCTCAGAATTTCACCCTCAGCAAGCCATTTGCATTGATCATGACTTTGTGAGCATTTAGAGCATGTCATGGGGCTCTTAACGCCACACATGAGCAAACCAATTACCCAATCAAAGAGCTTTTCTATTGGTTAAGACCTCCACTGAGTCTTCTCACACATCTTCATCTAGGAGGGCAGATGAACGGCATTAGTCTGTTACGTGCTGCATAAATATAGTTGCAGTGGGGCCAGGCGAAGATGCGTTTAGTGATGTGAGGTGAGCGAGAAGGGACGGGCGAGGATGTTCGTAATGTGCTGTAAATCTGACAGAAAAGAGAAAGGAGCGCTGAGAGGAACTTGCACAGCCAGGCAGGGACGTATCAAAACCTTTCCTCACCACTGATTGCAGCTCACGAGTGACAAACTAATAGGCCCGGAGATTTTAAGTTTGAAGAAACAGTTACTAGCAGGCCAATGGGGATTTATATGGTCGAAATGCTCCATTGATTCAGCCTCATTAAAACAGAGAAAAGGTGAACCTAATCCTGCTTTAGGAGCAAATGTATTTAGGAGCTTCAATTTTCCAGCAGCGTTTCTGCACCGGTGGGATGGGGTACAGTCATCCACGAATTACAATCAGTAGACGTTTCTGTTCCACAACACTCTATTACCTTCCACAGATAAATGTATTCACAGGCCGCAATTATTTTACAGTGGTTATGCAGGAATGAACGCAGAGGAAGGTCCCCTTGAAATTAGTTTAATATTTTCTTGGTCATAGGGGGATACAGGAAGTGATTATTGGGTTTTGAGTGGGGTTTTTAAAGTAACGCTGTACTGTATGTGCAATTATCTGCCCAAAGGTCACAGGGGTCAAAGTTGTGTTTAGAGAGTCGAGATTATCTCAACTAATTAACCTTCTAAATATGATTTAATGTAAATAAATGTTTGTAACTCAAACATCTATCTATCTATCTATCTATCTATCTATCTAATTCTTCATCCTGTTTTCTACCTCAATTTAAATGCAATCAACTGAATTAGACCTTAAAGATCATAAAGATCATATAACCCCCTGTTTCAGCATTGGTTAGTTCTCACCAGAGCTTTTGAAAAATGCTACAAAAGTGGACGTGGTGTGCTGTGGAGTGGAGGGGGAAGAGGGAACACAGACAACATGACAGCATCTTCAGATACAGACGGTTTCATTTCACTCCCATTGAGTTAAAAACATCAACGCTTCCCACAAATGCACACTGCAATTCACCATTACATGCAACAAAATTAACAGCTTTTTCTACATGGTTTTGTAAGCTCACCGTACATTTCACATATACCCCATGACCGCTATAATTTAAAGCACAAATACATGCACAGCCATTTATGTGTGTACTCTGCATTCAAAACATATATGAACACGCAGTTGGATCTTTAATAATTTTTTAAGGCTTATTTTGCAGTGTTTATATAAGCCGTTTGATTGGTTTATATCAAGGAGCTGTAAAGACTGGTTATGCTCATGAAGTGAACGAGTCGCGCTTGACTCAGGGTATGTGGATGTGAATGTATGCCACATGAATACTTATGAGACACTGATGCTTCATCAAAGTACTATAGTCATTTGCCACGTCACTAATTGTGACGTTAGCATGATGTAGAAATAAAATAAAATAGCTTGAGGTCCAGTAAAGAACCCTCCTCACCAGCCGCGGTCCGGACAACTATATACCTAAAAACATGAATTGATGGGTTTTGCCAGACCAGGGTATCTGCAGGATACTTAAGCTTAAATTTAAGACTTTAAGGCCTGGTTTCACAAACGGGGCTTAGCTTAAGCCAGGACAAGGCCTTAGTTAAATTAAGATATTTAAGCAACTTTTACAAAAATGCCTTAGAAGAAAACATTACAGGTGTGCATCTTGACACAAAACAATGACACTGACATACAGTATTTTAAGATATGTCAGAGCAAGATATTTTCAGTTGAGACAGCTCAAACATGCATTTTAGTCTGGGACTAGCTTAAGCCTTGTCTGTGAAACCGGGGGTATGACCTTTTTTTAAGACCTGCAAAAATAAAATTAAAATGCCTGTAAAATTCCTGGCTTACAGTTCAGACACAGGTTTTCACAAAACAAAAAGTTTTATAAAATTATAAACTTCACATTTTAGCCTTTAAACCATAATTTAAGAAAATGGAGTCAAAAGTATATAAATATATTGTACTTCTTAATTGTTTAGATTTTATAATGCATTATCTTCTTGTCCATCCACTAGTTCACATTTACAACTCTGCATGCTTGCTGCATAAAAACATGCGTTGATTTTCACATTGGTCTGAACAAAAACAGCAGAGGAGATGCAAATTCATTCTCTGCCAGCAGGAGGCACTTTCAGAATGGCAGAAATAAAGCTGTTTCCCTGGTAACGGCAGAACACAAAGCAGCACAGCAGGTGACTTTGAAATGTGCAGCGCTTGTCAGGGATTCATCACAGTCACTTCAGTCACCATCCAGGATAATTACCCGATCACAGTCACCTGAGTTCTGATCACCCGCACCTGCTGTCACCAATCAAGCCACACTACAAATACACACACAGCACAGTCACTCACTGTCCGGTCTACCGTTCACTCCTACGAACTTCTCTGGACTCTCTCTACCAAATTCTCCTAGAACGAATTACCTGCTGTTCCTCCCGCAATCCTCCAACGACTCCTTGGAAACTGTTCCACGATCTCCAACGTAACCGGCATCCGATCCTCACCATCAGAACTCAGATAAGCACCCTGGAACCATTCACTGTGTTGACACTCACCTGCCTTTAACACACCTATTCCAGTCATCCCCTTACCCAGTCAATAAACCATCCTGATTTGCACTTACCTGTTGTGTCTGGCCTTGCTTTGTGACAGAAGACCGGACCTTAACAAATACCTCCATGGATCCTCGACCTCCCACACCCGCAGAAGTCCTGGAGGAGCTGTTAAACGCCCTCCGGGCTTCTCTGCTTCCTCCGGCAATCCTCCAATCTGCCTTTCCTCTGTAAGTCCCATGGCCATGCCTGCTTCCTACGCGGGTGATAGAGCTGAGTGTGGCGGCTTCCTCCTGCAAGTGGCCTTGTTCATCGAGATGCAGCCGCAGAAGTTTTCCTCCGAACGCACTAAGGTAGCATTCCTGATATCACTTCTTACTGGAAGAGCGCTATTATGGGCTAAGGCCATATGGAACGCTAAAAATGCCATAATTAATTCCTATGATGCCTTCACTAACCATTTCAAAGAAGTCTTTGGTCACACA